TCAATGTTAACTTTTCTGTTAATCATATTTAACGACAGAAGACCTGCTCCGTTAGCGTAACTTTTGTAGTAAATTAGTACAGTAGATGCACTATAGAACAGGTAAGGGAATAAAGGGGATGTCCCGCATTAATCAATGAGTTTAGGTTGTAGTGGAGATATAATCTATACCCAGTAAAAAAACAGTATTATAGTGAGTAAAAGGGCAGCACGGCTTCTAGCACAAAACAGGTCATTTTCCCATGTAAATCTCCATAAGACATTCTAAGGCCTCGAACAGGTCTCAAAAAGTAAATTGAGACCTCTTAAATATCTCTTAAACAAGAACAAATAATTCAAAAAGATTTATTTGAGACCTGATCAGGACCTGATCAAGACCTGTTTTAAACCTGATCAAGACCTGTTCGAGACTTTCACGTTGTTGTACGTTGAACCGTTTAGACGTTACAAATTTAGTGTTCTTTTTCTATACGCCGTCATGTTTTTTTTAGTCTACGTACACGTTGACCCCTTCCCTTTCCTCTTACGCCACAATCCGATGAGCCAAGGCGCCTCCACCACAAAATGAGCCAAAAATGACCAGAATGGACGTTAGAATTTCTTATGGAGATTTACATGGGAAAATTACCTGTTCTCTGCTAGAAGCCGTGCTGCCCCTTTACTATTGTGATTGCCGTCTTAGTGTTTTGAAGGCTATAAGATTTTGTATCAAATGACTCTATTCTGTATAAGTGAAGATGGCATACTACGAGTCCTTACTGCATATAATGTGCCAAATTAAACTATATAACAAATTTAGCCATTTGCCTGTTAATTTATTATTATTTTCTTAATAGTTCTGATAATACTAAATAAGCAATATTTTAAATAATATATAATCACAAAGAAAGAAACACTGGGAAAGAAAATATATATAGTCCATACATCGGAAAATGCAGCGCTCATGACGTCACCAACGACAATGGAAATAGAATAATAGGATTTGCAGCATCCAAGGGCATGGTCGTTGAAAGTACCTACTTCCCCCATAAGAATATCCATAAAGTAACATGGACGTCGCCTGATGGTACAACCAAAAATCAAATAGATCACATCCTAATAGAAACCAGGCACTTCTCTAATCTAATGGATGTACGTACTTATCGTGGAGCTAATATAGATTCAGACCATTTCTTAGTAGGCACAAAAATAAGAGCAAGAATCTCAAATGCAAAAAAAGAAAAGGGTAAGAAAAGTACTCGCTACAATTAAAAACTCTTGAAAGAGCCCCGTACACTAGAAAGGTATCAAAATTACCTTGAACATGAAAGCACAACAGATGAGAATTTAACAGCTAGCGAGCAATGGGATATATGTAGAAGAACAATTAAGGAAGCGGCAAACAACGTCCTAGGACCAGAAGAATCCACTCCACGCAACAGTTGGTTCGACGATGAATGTGAAGATATCACTAAAAGAAAAAATTATGCATATAAACTTATGCAACAAAGAAGAACACGGGATAAGGAGCAAATGTACAAAGATCTTAGGAAGGAGGAAAAACGCATACATTGAAGGAAAAAGCGGACCTTCGAAAACCAGATTATGCAAGAGCTTCAATCATTAAAGGGGCAAAATGAAACTAGAAAGTTCTATAATATCCTAAATAAGACAAGAAAAGAATTTAAACCACGGCTAACGATGTGTAGAGACAAAAATGGACATATAGTCAGTAGCGCTGACGCAGTACAAAGCAGATGGGTTGAGCACTTCAAAGAACTACTTGGTACCGAAGTGGAAAATGATGCGTCACCCCAAAGACCAAAAAATAACACTCACGTAGAACCTCCTTCAATATTTGAAGTGAAAGACGCAATCACACGACTCAAAAATAGCAAGTCCCAAGGAGTGGATTGTATCCCCGCAGAGCTCATCAAACATGGAGGTAACAGCATTATGCACCAAATTCACAACATAATAGTCAAAGTCTGGGAAGAAGAACAAATGCCAGAGGAATGGTGCACTGGAATCATACGTCCACTACACAAAAAGGGAGATTTGTTGGAATGTAAAAATTATAGGGGTATAACTCTTCTGAATACAATGTACAAAATATTCTCCAACACCCTGTACAGCCGTTTAAGTACGTACGTGGAAGAAATCCTTGGTGAGTATAAAAGCGGTTTTAGGCCAGATAGGTCAACAATCGACCAGATTTTTGTGCTACGTCAAATCTTGTGCTCTATACGAAGCCATAAATGAACTTAACATTCCCCATAAATTAATAAGGCTCGTAAAAACAACTATGAGTAAAGTGATCTGCAAAGTGCAAATACAAGGCGATATGTCACAAGCGTGTGAAACATATGCAGGGTTACGACAGGGAGACGCGCTGGCGTGCCTTCTCTTTAATATAGCGTTAGAAAAGACTATAAGAGATGCCGAGTTACACAATAGGGCAACAATCTTTAATAAATCAACGCAGATTATGACTTACGCTGACGATCTGGATTTGATTGCACGTACTACACGATCTGGATTTGATTGCACGTACTACACGAGGACTTAAAGAGATGACTTCCACCTTCTTGACAGCCGCACAAAATATAGGCCTTAAAATAAACGAGGAAAAAACCAAAATGTTAGCATCTATTCCAAATAACAGAGATAGAGCTAGAAACGCCAAACAAAACTTCAGTATAGACCAATATAATTTTGAGGTAGTAAATAAGTTTACATATTTGGGTTCTCTCATAACAAACAATAATGACACATCTGAAGAAGTTAAACGGAGGGTACTGCTAGCAAACAAATGTTATTTTGGACTAAGCAAGCAGCTAAAAAACAGAAATTTAAGCCAGAAAACCAAACTAATAATATATCGAACACTTATCCTACCAGTGCTGACATATGGGTCAGAAACATGGACCATCTCCAAAACAGACGCAAATCTTCTGCTCGTCTTTGAAAGGAAGATACTAAGAAGAATAATGGGCGCATTCTGTGAGAATGGTATTTGAAGAAATGAAAATTACCCACCCAGACGAACTCTATTATCGGTCCCAGTGGGAAATAGGAGTAGAGGCAGACCACGACTGAGATTGAGGGACGGTGTGGACGAGGACGCAAGGAAAATCGGCGCGGCAAATTGGCAACGGTTGGCGATGAACAGAAACGACTGGCGAAATAGACTGGCGAAGGTCAAGGCTCAACTAGAGCTGTAGCACCACTGATGATGATGATATAATCACAAAAACTAAATAATATTGTTTTATACAACTCACGTAACCTATTATTATCATAAGAATTATTAAAATATGTAAAAATTATTGACAACCAAACAATAAGACAGTCTGACGTACCCTAAGTAATTCTTCTTCTTCTTTTGGCATCATAACCCTGGATGGGTCTTTGCCTGTCTGGCTATGTCCTTCCATTCAGATCTCTCTTGTGCCCTTCTTCTCCATTGTCATATGTTCAATGTTTTCAAGTCGTCTTTCACGTCATCCAACCATCTCGTTCTGGGCCTTCCTTTTTTTGGCCTTCCTATGGGCTTCCATTGTAATATTTTCTTTGTTGGTTAACCTAAGTAATTAGACTACAAAAAAATGCCGCACTAACACAATCTTTGAAGTGGCGGATAAAATGAATATTCCCAAAACTACAGTGTGGAAATAATTAGGCACTATGAGAAAACATGAAGTATTTCAGATAAAAAACGTGAAAGCCCGGATCGTCCAAAACTAGTTTCTGATAGAAATTACGGGTAGAAATTAGGCCGAATTACGGGTATCAACTTAAAAGTTTACTCGTTTTTTAAAATATTTTAACATCTTTTCTTCTAGACAAAGGATAAGCCACTATTAACAGTAAAACAAAAGCAAGTCAGGCTCATTTAAAACAAAATCTAAACTTTCTTGGTCGGTAGAAAATTGTTCCCGAAAAAAATTTAACATATTATGTGTTGATGATTACCTCAAATCAGTTATTCGTACTAAGCAGGGGTCTTTTCACAAAGCCTGTTTGAAACGGACTGTAAAATTGACTAAAATGAGTGATGATTTGGAGTTGGATGACAATTTTAGGGTTATGGATGTTTTTAATTTATTAAAAGTAGTGTAAATGCTGCGAAATATTAACAAATACTTTAAAATATACTACTACCAAGTATTGTGAAATTAGATCCTGGTGGGAATTATATTTTTCAGCAGGACAAAGAGATCTTTCAGAAAACTAGAACCACAAACAACTGGTTTGGAAACCACAATATAAAAGTCCTTTCTACGACTTCTAACAGGCCTGATCCAAATATAATTAAAACAATATAGCATAAAATTAAACACACACTAACGAATAACCCACAACGGATATTATACAAAACTTAGAGCCAAAATATAGCAAATTTCCAATGAATTTATACTTGAATAGTGCAGTCAAGTAAATTCTCAACCGAATTGAGCGACCATAAAGTGTAAGGGACATGATACTCCGTTTTAAAAACAAGTATTCGTTATACATTCCAATATTTAGTGGCCAACAAAATAAACATTCTTATTATTAGATGGTTTTATTACAGTAAGTATATTTTGTTTTGTGTTGCTGAACTTAACAAAAAAATAAACTGTCAACTATCTGAATTTTGCATGTATTTAAGTTTGTCCCATTACATAGTTGTTAGGTCTATTTGTCATTGACACGTTGGTTATTTATTTACACAATAACTTCGAATAATATATATTAGAGTTATATACTTTAAATAATTGATCCGTATAATTGGAATTAGAATAGATTAAGTTTTATTAATTGTTCAAAGCGGGACATAACGGCGTCCACCCAAGTTAACATGGTAACAACTGGATGACAACCTACAAAGCGGGAATGCCCTGCTTAAAGCAGGACATTATAGTTACCTAAGCAGGTCCCACAGTAGCATCCTATACGATTCTGATTAAGTTTTACGGCCATTTTTCTTCCTCGCGATAAAAAATGCGCATTTAGTAAATAAGTAAGTATATTGTTTTTAAAATCCAAAGATATATTTCAGTTGTTGTGTATCAATAACGTAACTGCATTTTAAGAGCAAATTAGTACACTGATCGGTAAATTTCACAAAAAAAATTTGGGTATAATCTCAAATCAATAAATTTTTAGGTACGTAATCGCCATACAATTGTATCTACATTTTGTTTAAATAATTATTACAAATTTTAAGTATCGCCAACTCCATAAACTCTAGTCTCAAATATTAAAGTACTAGTACAATGATTTCCAAAAGTAAATTTTATTATTAGATATGTTCCCTACAATTACAAAATTTATACAATTCTTAAGGAAGTTTATTTGTGCGACCAATTTCATCATCAAATTCTTCTTGCTGAATCCTTTCATTTGCAAGAATTGTCAAAAATTTGGAAATTTCTAACTTGCGAGTTGAAACGATGTTCTTTTCTTGTTTAGTTGTACATATTTAGGCTTAGAATGAAAAAATTTATAGATTTTTACACTAATTGACGATTATTCAAACTACATGTCAGATTAAAAATTTTCTTAGATTATTTCTAAGCAAAAAAAAATAAAATCCTACCATGAACTGTAAAAGAAAATGAAAAACGAAATCATTACAGGACAAAACAGAATAAGGACTTTTTTGGAAAACTTATATTATTTTTATTTAATAAGTTCTGCATTTTGAAATATATGCCAAAATAATTTAAAAATTAACCATCTTGAATAATTTTCACATTATACAATGTTAAAATAATGCCAAAATATGTTTGTATGTATGCAATATGTGTGTCACAGCTTTTTTTTAATTTTAATGTAAGTTACCCATGATCTTATTTTTGTAATATCTTATATAGAAGCTAGGATTGGAATACGCGATATGCACGCAGAATGAATTCTTAAGTAAAATAAATGAGCGGTGTGTGGTGCTCATGTTTGAGAGACATACTATGGATGTATAAAAATTTCACCAAAATAATCAGTACCACAAATTAAAATATGTCCTTTTCATTTTAAATAAACATCCAAGTGCATGCCAAGGTACTTAGCAGTGTTGTATCATAGGATCACTTTGTTGTTGTATGTATGATCACATGTATTTCCCGATGACTTTGCACCCATACCATTATGACACTGTTATATTCCGTCAGTCTACTGGTAGGAGCTCTTACTAGATCAGTACTCCGGTTCGAATTTCGGTTCTCTGTCTTGGTTTACAGCGATTTTTATATTTGCCGGTATTCCATGTCCAGCGCGCATCAACAGTAGTGGTCATGAAGAGATATGGTATGCCAGCGGAAAGCGCTAGCGGTGTCATCGTTATAAGTCCTCCTTATATAACGTCAAGTGTTCAAAAATCAGTTGGTGGTTATCCTTTGCGCACAAGATATATTATAGAGAAATACCACTTCACAATAAACAATGAGTTGCTATTTGGTGCGCTGATGATAAAGATTATCGGTCCTTCTTTTGTTAAATCGCAATACCAACTTGCAGTTTTTTTAATCAAGAATATATTAATATACCTTTTGGGACATGGTAACAAAACTTTCGCATCATACCTCACTCGTATGTATATAGTTAATAGCTTAAATAGAATGGAGTACTTAGCTAAACATGTATACATCCCATATATTTATTTTACGAAAATTAAAAATGACCAATCATTTTTCCTAAGGCATTGACAGGCATCAAGCAGTCTTCTCACTTATTTGATATAACAGCGCCTGCTTCATTCAATAGGAGTGTGCTGAAGAAATATCTATTTAATGCAGAATATTGCAAAATAATACAGTAGTAGCCAGTTTTACAAGGAGATGGAACCTAGATAACCAAGGTCATACTTGACTTACCGCCATTAAATAATATGAATGTAGAATGAAGCGAAGGTAGGAACACACAGAAGGCGGGTAAGATATCCGGAAGCAGAACGAAAGAGGACCAGGATATGGAGAGATCTGGATAGATAAAAAACCATCCAGATTTGGAAATGATTCCAGATGGAAATGGGAGTCGAATATAAATAATCTCATAATGACAGATTATTGCTGGTATACCTATGGCTCTAAAACCGATGAGGTATATGGAGGAACTAATAAAGAGGAACTGCGGAGACATAGCTATAAAAGATTATGTTGGTTAGATAGGCGGCATTAAAAGCAGTGGAATCAAATTAAATTTAGTCCAAGCTAGTTTAGAACTTCCTTCAGAATCTAATTTTGGTTGAAAAAAGTAACAAAGTAAGTGAACTCTGGATACCTGGATATATTATTATTAAAAAAGGCAAAGGAAACATTTATAGGCCCACAAACAGTCGTTCGAATAGCAAAAAGCACTGGCACAAGAACGATATATGACAGGGTGGAATGGATGAAATATCTTTTATAGGCTGAAAGGCTTTTATATATGAACGAGATACAAAGATCTACTAGATATGAATAGAAAGGAGCTGTGAAGAATTATAGGTCTTCTAACAGGATACTGTTGCGTAAAGTGCATATAAATAAAATCGGACTGACAGAAAATGTAAATTGCAAATTTTGTCAGGCTGGGCTGATAGAATAACTTAAACCTAGGAATGAACTACAATACACTTCATAGTTCTAGTGGACTGTGGAAAGAGAATTCTCTCTCCTGTTACCGCCAAAGAAGGTAGCGTAGAACTATTTTAATTAATTTTAAACTGTTTGTCCTTGTTCTAGTGTAGTGTTCGTACAATTTTATGTTACCATCTATGTTTATTACATTCTACGCTTGCTGGATAGCCCATATTTGACGAAATGCCCCTGAGGATGCTATATTAATCGAAAGTACTTGGGCAAGATTTGATTAGACTTATGCTCGATATAATTGCCTTAATTTTCAAAGTTCGTTTAAGATTGTGTTAAATAGTTCTGACGCCTCTGCAAGTTCAGGGCCTCCATATTTTAAGAGTTCATTGGGTATACCAGCTGTTTCAGGTGATTTTCTGTTTTTTAGCTTCTTAATCTTTGCTTTTAATTCTTCATCATTGATTGTAACATTTATATCTGCTGCGTAATCGTTTATATCCGGCGTTTCTTCAGCATCATAAAGCTCTTTAAAAGGCTGTTGCCGTGTCTCTATAGGTACTCTCTTGGTGTGCACGAACTCGTTAACTGGTTTTTTTCTGTTTCGAAGCATTTTCAGTAATCAGCCATTGAAATGCATCTATTCAATAGTCTGCAAAATCCTCATGACCCGCGATGGTGAAAGTTTTGAACAATGTCAGTTGCGAAAATAATCAATAAATAATTTTCGGTACTACTTATTTGACAAATACTCTGTACAATGCAGGTTTTAAGATGCCTGCTAAGATGATCATTGCCTCTATTAAACTTCTTTTTTTTATCATATGTTTCCAGTAGGTAGCTTTGTCTCATTTAATCTGCATTCGTCTTACCTTATAATTGGGCTCATAATGTAACCCAAATGTTTTATGTGTTGAAGAACATTTTATGTACATACTAGAGTACCAGTGCTCGAAAACTATGTTTTACTTAGTTTTTATTTCAGCAGTTAAACATAAAACAACCAAAGAAGAGAACCAATATATTGGCAAATTAAAAATTTCCACAAAGATAACAAGAATAGACTAAAAAGTCTAATATAAATATTTATAAGCTAAAACTAAAATATACTTTGCTTTAAAATCTTACAATAACAAGTCAATTATAATAAAGTATTTTAAGAATTGTAAGTCTCGCTTTTTTACTATAAGAAACCGTTTCGTTGTGGTGATAGACCTTTTTGAAGGTTCCAGTTATAAGTCACAAAGGGCTAGCGTAGATACTTGTAATTGTGATCTTAGTTTAGCGTAGATATATAAATATTTTGCCAATCTCTTATAATAAATACGAAATAAGTTAATGTTTATAAACTGATTATCTAATATTTGATTATTTCTTGCTTCTTTAGAACAATAAAAAAACAGTTGTACACTTATTAAGGCTGGTTTATAAACTTTGGCGTTGGCGCTGGCGTTCGCCGTTCACCTTGGAGCTGGCTGTCAAATACTGCATTTATAAAATTTCTGTTGCCGTTGGCGTTAAAGATCACATCTTAATTTCTAACCTTACATTTTTGATTTGGTAATATTCATTTTTACTTGAAAATTAATACAATGGAAAATGAAAATGCTCGGCTTTTGTTAGGTGCAGTGGCACTTATACACGATACTTTTTATTCGACTGAGCCTTCGAAATAAAAGACAAAGTCGGTATAAACGGAGGCCCATTAACCAGAACAGAAAGACAGAATTATTATACAAATAAAAAAAACTGGGATACATAGCGGTTTTTTAAATGTACCAGGATGCAGGTTCCAGAATTTGAAAAATTACTGCAAATGGTAAAACCAAAAATAAATGTAAACTATCACTCTAATAGAATTTCTAATAGGTATAGGGAATATAAATTAAGTTATCTAAACAATTTTACTTGAAAACACAAACATAAACAAATAATTTAGTTTGATTTGTTGTTGTGACAAACCTTGACACTTTTTCGGTATTGCTATTGGCTGCGATGACAAAGATACAGTTTTTTTATGTTCTGTGATCGTGACTACAACCACAGAAGGGTTGGTGTATACATAACCACATAAGTTGGTTTATCTTGAACGGAACCGAACGCCAACGCCAACGGCGAACGATGTTTTTAAATATACATACGAGTTTCCCATTTGACCATGTTGTAACGCAAACATCAGCGCCAGGGCCAACGCCAACGTGAAGTTTATAAATCAGCGTTAATACCTATTAACTTATAACTCCAAACAAAACCACATCCACGTTTGTAGAAGATAGTAAAAGCTTTGGTTTCTACACGTCTACACATGCGCACTAGACCCTTCGTTTATAGTTATCAATAAATCGTAAACTGTGTTTTTTATCATATTATTTTATCGTAAAATACAAAAAAGCAGGTCTATAATGTTACTAGGTTTCTTTGAGTAGATTTTTATTTATTGTACAAGAAAATCGAAAAAAAGATTTAGATTACACGAACTATTTAAGCACTTATATAATCTACTATAAACAAAAAATAACGATTTTGGCACTTAAGAGGAATGAAAATTTTTATATAACTAGCATAGTATTATTTACATTCACACTATATTTTTATCAATCAATCTAACTTGGAATTGGTACCTTGCTCATATTTGCTATTAGGTTTCAATAAAAGTATAATTTATTAAGGACCTAACTAATTCATTTTAAATATTTAAAACTATGTTTTAAGATTGTATTCAAATTAATAGAAACCCAGACTTTTACTGAGTTAGATGGTATCTTATACAGGTGCTAACTTTTGTGCTACAAAGTCTTGTTTATCAAATTTTCAAACTTTATTGACATAAAACCATTATTTTTTTTCTAAAAATAACTAAAGTATTGGACAAAATATACAAAATTTTAGGTTTATTACTTAATTATAAACTATATGAAAAATTAAATTTATAACAAATTTCAATACATTTACTCTATGCCCCAATGTATTTTAATTTTTGTAAGATATATAAATATTTTTACAAATTTTTTTTAAAAAAAATTATACAAAAATATTTTACTAGAAGAAAAATTTTGTAAAAGTATTCCACGAAAACGTTTATAAAAATTAGTAGGTACTTTAAAATTTTAGACTTATAAAATCAATTTCTAATAAAACAATGTGTTTACTAAAATTAAAAAGTAATACCGTAACATTGTTAAATAGTTCATATAAAAAGTAATTCAGTTTTGCCCACTTTGTCCAACTTTGTAAAGCAAAATATTTTTTATAGACTTTTATAAGTTTGTTAGAAAATTGGTACAATCAACCAAAAAACCGCAAGTAGATGCCGAATTCTCTTCAACAAAATTCTATCACCAACAACAGTCAATAGTTTGTGAATAAATATTTGAAACAAAGAGTAAAAAAACGTGACTACCAGAAACATTTTTATAAAATCTGACAAAAAATCCAACAGCAAAAAATGTTCCCAAAACGGCACAGCATTTTTCTTATCCATAAAATATCACGCAATGGTTAATTAGACGTGACAGATCTGTACAACGAAAAGCATACAACAAAATATAGCAATAGGAGAAATATGTGTACTGGAAACCTTACGATTATAATATTATGTGGTGCCTGCATGCATTTAAAATTTTTATAATTAATAATTCTTATTTTTTAAATTGGTTGGTTTAAACCGAAAAGTTTGTTACAGCATTTTTACCGACGCATTTGCCACCAAAATTCAAAACACTTTCGCTGTACAGATCTGCAACTGCCCACCGAAGCATGGCCCAAAATTGATGCTGTAAAAAATGTCTTTATTTGGTATATTGAAAACGTTTTAAACATGTTTTGTTCTCTAACTTGTCCCCTTGCGTCCGTCGACGCTCAGCCTGTACTATGTCAGCAGCTTGAAGAACATAATAGCCAGGGAGATGTTGATGAAAAGAACTACAAGGACCAACTGTTGCCGCGAGAACCAGTCCTGCAAAATACGATAGTTTTAGAGGCGGTTTTATATGTAAATTAAACAACAAATAATTAATAAGTATAATTAATATAAATACTTTGAAAGTGAATTCAAAATATTCTTAATTATTTTATGGAAATTCATAAAAAAAATACTGTTACTGTTTAAAAACAATTTAAGTGAAAAAATTACTCTTTTTTTAAATTTTCGTCTGTATGTATGTTTTATCAAAAAATTAAAAAAGGAACCAGTTGTTTTATTAAAAAACCTTCAAAATGAGCTATAGTAAAAGTTTTTTTTGTTGTATTTATTTATTTATTTATTAATAAATGGTCAAAAGAGGTAAACATTTTGAAATGATATGAATGAATGTTTAATATCTTTTGCAAAAATGATTATACAACTTTTAATTTTGCATCACAAGGATGCTTTTGTAGTGGACAATATGTGGTATAAAGTTCAAAAAAAATTCTTTGAATTATTGTTAAAAAATTTGATTTGTTTATTCTAAATTTGCAAAGTTAACAATTTTTTGCAATTTTATGGGACAGACAATAATAAAATTGGAAGGATTTACTGTTTTTAAGGTAATATAAACAATGCCTAATGTTATTATTCGATAGCGCAACGAAGAAGCAAATCTGGATTTAGTTCTGAATTCTGAACGACAATATTGCTTCTATAGAAAATGTCACACTGAGAGTGCAGTACGGGTAAGATACGGCAATACTTTTCTTATGGAAAATAAACGCGCAGGATTGTCGGTTTTCTCTAGCTGTTGATTGCTCATTGTCTCACAGGACCAGCTTGGATAAAATGCATCTGCCTGCAGTACGAGTAAAATATTTTATATCATGTGTACGTATACAGTAGAATTAAACGGCATTGATAAGTGATTGACAACGAAAACTATGAATTTTGCATATAAAACGTCAACATGAGATATACAATTGAATCATATCCATAAGAGTAACATTTGAACACCTCTTTACAAGAACAACATACAATAACTGTAGTTTTAATGTTTTACATAAAATAGAAAAAACCTAAATAATTTCTAGGAAAGAATTTAGAAACTTGGAAATAATATTATTTATAGATATTATATATAATATTCAAATTTCCAATTCTTTCATAGAAATTAGATTTTTTCTATTGTATGTAAAATATTAAAAATACAATTATGTTGTTTCTATAAATAGGTCTTCATTTCTTTTGTAAAACTTCTGCTACAAATTACCATCATTAACATAATCACCTAAATATGACCATAAACTTGTCTGTCATAATTAGTATTTGATAAACTCCAAGCTTTCCCTATTTCACCCCCAACCCATCCTAAGGATGGTAGGGGATGAATGTGCTTTTGGAAAACGAAACTACACTTCAAAATTTAGCTGAGTTTCAACAGAGAGCTTGGAGTCCCATAAGTTTAAATCCGGTGAATTATTTAACGGTTGCGCTAAACTCGTAGTGTTAAATGTGTTGTGTTTTTTACAAAATACGGAACAACTTAATGTAAGTGCTGCTGTAAGACGTACTTCGTTGATGACTGGTGTTAGCGAAAGAAGCATTTACAATTTCAAAAAAGAAAAAGAACAGAGTGGAACGTTGAAATCGCCACAAAAACGTAAAAAACGAGTGTGTCAATTAAATTCTAGAATATTCACATATAACGAGGATGTAAGAAGTATTCTACGGAGAATTGTTCATTGTGAATTTTTCATGAAAAATTTGCCGCCATTTTTAAAGCATATACATAACTTCATACAAGGTAATGAGAATATACAGACGTTGTCTCTTTCTACTGTATACAGACTTCTGAAAGATATGGGATTTGTTTATAAGAAACGTGGTCGAAGAAGCATCATGGTGGAGCGAGAGGATATTATTTATTGGCGCCATAATTATTTGAGAACAATACGACGTTTGCGGAAACACCTTTGCAATATCATATATTTGAACGAATCGTGGGTTATTGTTGGCCAATCTATAAATTACGAATGATGCGATACTATGATACAAAACAGTCGTGATCCTTTTGTCAAAGGTTTAAGTACTGGCTTAAAAGCACCTACTAAACGAGGTCCACGATATGTTTTATTGCATGCAGGTTTTTCAGGAGGTTTCCTTCCTGGCACACAGCGTGTTTTTCTGGCAAATAAAAATGATGTCGACTATCACGATGAAATGGATGCCGCATATTTTAAGTCGTGGTTTAAGGAGACATTAATATCAAATTTTTCAAATAATGGTCGCAGGAATGTCATTGTAATGGACAATGCATCGGATCACTCCCGTAAAGAGATATTTCCTAACAATTCCTGGAATAAAGCTGCAATCAAGGAATGGCTAGTGGAAAAAGACATTTTTTTCGAGAAGTGTTATTTGAAATCCGAGCTATTAGAAGCAGTGCGTGCTTTTAAAGATCAATACGATAACTATCATCTTGATGAGTATGCTTCACAACATAATGTTTATATTTTAAGGCTTCCTCCATATCACTGCGAATTGAATTCTATAGAAATGGTGTGGAACCAAGTTAAGCGATATGTAGATACCCATAATACCACTTTTAAAAACGACGAGGTACGCCAGTTGATCGACGACGGTTTCGCACGCGTCACAGAGAAAAATTGGCGCAATTATGTCACTCATGTTGTTGAGAAAACGGAAACTGAGATGTGGACTGCGGACAACCTACAAGATGACGTAGACCAATTGATAATACACGCGAACACAGGGGAGAGTAGCAAAAGCGAATCCGACATCTCGGATGTAGAGGACGACTTTAGTATAATTAATTGAATATCTGTGAGTAACCTCGATTATTTTACACTGTATAACCAATAAAATGCATTTGCCAGTCCTATCAGAGTATGGTCTTTTCGAATATTGGGCTAGGTGCACGGAAATCGAGTTCACGGAGGTTCCACCCTGTATATTTATAGCTATCAAGAAATGTAATTTAAAATATATTTGTTAGTTTAATAAAGTATAAATATAATATAATGTTAAATAACTTACACTATAAACCTTATACCTGCTCATCTGGTCAAGTGAGGGCAAGGAAAACCATTATCCCATATGGAATAACACAAGGTTTCGCTGAAAACTACCAGGTTGCTATGCCAAGGAACTAGGTAAACTTATGCTGTGTGTAAAAAATGCGAGACTGCATTATGTTTTAACAAGGACAAAAACTGCACTTCACATTTTCACAAAAAAAAAATTCATAGTAGGTGTTAAAATTTCACAGTGATTCAAGTGCGCAACTTGTTTTTTTAATAACATCGCCGGGATTAAAAAAATGTGCAAAGCTTTTTTGATATTCCCGTTCATGATAATTTTTCACATATTTACAAAAGAAAAAGTTTTTCTTGGATATTGGGCTGGGTGCACGGAAATCGAGTTACCTGAGGTTCCACCCGGTATATTTATAGCTATCAAGAAATGAAATTTAAAATACATTTGTTAGTTTAATAAAGTATACAGTTTTATAATAAAATTCTCGCTAATAACTTAAGGTCTTTTTATTCAAATTCATGCCTCTTATTTGGCTACTTGAAGGCAATTATTTTATAAATATATTATTTTATAATAAATAACAGAGCCCGGCGTAGAGATCTGGGTACGGTTCTGTGACTACCACTTGGACCTGTTTGTATCGCCAAGCACAAGGCGTGAAATCCGGCAATTGTGTATTCCTATATTAGCCGTACTGCACTCTCGGTGTGACATTTTATATAAGACAACATGTCTTCTTGACATTATGGGAAAATGTCTGAATTACTAATAAAAATCGCATAGAACGAGAACTGGTTTACCTTTAGATAAAAAAATCCACAACTTGGTAAAACACATTGTAAATAAGGAAAATGTCTCCAGAAAAAAAAAATGAGCGATCTTAATGTTAAAAACGCTTTTAATGCAGCAAACTGGACTAGGATCATGGCAAAGCTTAGTGCTACGAGAATATCCACATATTCTATTAAACATCGTCAAGAATTACCCAACAAATAGAAAACATTAAAGGATAAACAAATACCAACAACAGCTAAACTATCGCTAGGCTCAGCACTAGGATCGACATCATGGAACTTTATGTGTCTTGACAACACTAATTACTTCTGTGGAAGTTTTTAAAACAAAGTTTTTATTATTTTATTGTTATATAAAATGAATTTTCATCAAGTAACGGTCGAGTCCATCACTTATTTAAAAGAACACTCCTCCTCCTCAGTCCCAATCCCTTTTGGAATATAGTGCCACCATTTGGCCTTTACAGTTTTTTCACAATTTCCCTCCAGCCATCCCTATCCTGCGCTAATTGTTTGGCTTCATGTAACCCTTGGTTAATCAATATTTTTGTTTAATTTACCCAAAGGATTGGAGTTCTTCCCCTAGGTCTCTTTTCTTCAACTCTACCCTCGACTATCAGTTTTTTCATCGTACCTGCTCTTTTAGCAATGTGTCCAAAATACTGCAAATATCTCTGATGTATTTGTTTAAGCAATCTATCCTTTACTATAAGGTAGTCTTATATCGATACGTTAGTGCGATGATCCATCCAGGATATTCTTAACATGCGGCGGTATAACCACATCTCAAAAGCTCCTAGTTTATTTTTATCCGCTTTCTTTAAGGTCCACGTTTCGGATACATATGTGGCTATGAGAAAAATGAGTGCCCTAACTGGCCTTAGTTTTATGTGTATTGTCTAGAATTTTTCCTAATTTTTACCAGTTTCATCATAGCTATTATAGCAATAGTCAACATTCTACGTATCTTTCTGTCACACCTTCCGTCATTTGTTGTTAGGTACCCCAGGTATATGAAACTATTTACTGCTGCAAAGCCCCCAATTTCTTTAATGCGTTGAAGATTATTCCGATCTCTGTCTACTATCATGATCTTTGTCTTACTTCTATTTAGCTTTAGTCCATATGTTTTGGTTTTCTCCTCCAGACATCTCATTATGTCTTCCATTTGTTCTTAATTTGCGTGCGATTATT